TTAACTTAACTACAGTGCCTTATGATGGGGTTAAAATGCTGACTCAATTTACCCCACAGCATTTGGCTTACTTTGCCCCATAGCTGCCATATGGAAAAAATAGCTACTGTTGCTTACCAGTTCAGGCTGATATTTAGCTAAATGATTTGCATGGTTTTATATGTTGCTAAATCCCCTATATGTATCATAAATATTTTTGGGCCTGGATCAATTTGCTTTGATGTAACAACCATATGTTAAGCTAAAATTTTACTTTGACAAGCCAAAAACAGTTTTTAAAGTAGATGGGTGCCTTCCATTCCCCCCATATTTTTCTCCTTTTCACAGTCTGGCAGAAATGATGGGTGGTTCCAAAATACATGGTCACATGACAGTAAAAGTGTACAGTTGCCAAGAAACAGGGGGTGGGTCAACTTACCCACTGGCTCAACTTACCCCACTCTCCCCTACTTCCATTGAAGATGAGGCAGAAGCAGGCTCAAAGAGTGAGGGAGAGCCCATTCTTATCAAAACATCTACAATAAAGTCTGAAATTATTATAAAGTGTGCTGTCTTCTCTTTTAATTGTATATTTGTAACAACTGGATCATTTGTATTAACAAGCACCCACCCCCCTAGTGCCCCTTTTTTGGTTTGGGCCACTGCCCCTCAAAATGTCTGTGCACGGCCCTGCTCCTGAAGTTAAGAGTTTGGGTGTCCTCCTGGACAGTACACTGCCATTTCAATCACATATTAATAAAATCACCCTGTCCACCTATTTTCATCTACGTAATATTAACCGCCTTCGTCCTTCCCATACTCCTCATACTACTGCTATTCTTGTTCACAGTCTTGTCATTGCCCGCATCGATTATTGTAATTCTCTTGTCTTTGGTCTTCCTCACAAATCCCTCTATAGGCTTCAATTGCTTCAAAACTCAGCAGTCCGTATTATCGCAAAAATCCCCCCCTTTCACCACATATCCCCTGTTTTACAGCAGCTTCACTGGCTTCCGGTTAAGTTTCGCATTGACTTTAAGATTTTCTTGTTCACTTTCAAGTAAATTTATTGTGCTGTGTCCTTGAGTGTTGAGAAAGGCGCCTATGAATAAAATGTATTATTATTATTATTATCCACATGAATAAACATGACTCGCAGTTTCATTATTTGTCCTTGCAGCGTGTTGATGTGTGCACAAAATCATATTTTTTGTGCTCGAGTTTGAAATTTGCCATTTGTTCAGGTTTACATTTTACGTGCGAGCTTCGTCACTGTATGCAAAGTACTGTATTTCGCTTGCGCGCTGTGTTCATGCACTTGCGCAACAGCCGTAATGGATTTAGTTTAAATGTACAGCAGCATTTTTGTCCACGTGTGTTGCCATAGTTTCTACAAATGGAAACAGGATAGTGCGGATATTTCATCATTGATAGGCGACAATGACCAGGGACGAGCCATTATTTAAAATGGGAATTTCTCTGGATTTACAAATCCTTGGGAACTATTAGGATAACGTAAGTGCACAACTGCATGAAATATATCACACTGTGCAAGTGATTTTTGGATATTTTATTACGAAAATCTTACAAATTGTGCCTTTTAACACGACTGAAAATTTTGAAATGGCTTTAAATTAAGCAAAAACAAGAAAAGGTGAGGGAAATAAAATCATGATTTTTTAAAAGTATCTTCATTAAAAAAAAAAGTAAATATTAAAACAGGTCATATTCAGTTGATCTATAATAATAATAATGTAAAAAAAAGTGTAAAACTCAATTGATTTATGACAAATAAAAAAATATATATATACAAGTATAATATAAATATATATAAAATATAAATATTAAATATATACATCTAAAATGCTAAAAAAAAAAATTCATATGAATAAAACTGAATAAAAATAGGGTCATAAATGTAAATGCATGCAAGTCTGTAATTCAACACTGTTACGATGACCGGCTGGAATGCCCTGGTTGTCCACTAGAGGACACTCCATCCCAGACTCTCTCACAAACCGCACTCCCCATAATCCTTTGCCCGGACTCTTCATCACTGATTGCATTCACTTCAGTTGCTTTGACACAATCTGTATTGTTAAAAGCACTATATAAATAAAGGTGACTTGACTTGACTTGACCTGTGTCTCATTACCTCATTGCTTAGTCTTGGGCTGCGTTCCAGTCCGTTTTTTTATGCCCTTCATCATTGATTACATTGCATGAGTGCCCACTTCTGGCGGAACCCTTGGAATGGGCTGAACTGGAACGCCCTAAGCCCTTGAACACTAGATTAGAATCAGCTATGGAGTTGGTTTATTGTTTAAATTTTTCCCTTATGAATTTGTTTGGTGCAGCATTCTATCTGTATATAGGTATGTTTGGGCTATTATAAATGTTTAAAAAAATAATTTATATATTATAGAGTTGTTTCATTGTTGCATTGTGGTCTGTGGAGTGGCCTGAAGTGTGCATATGAAGTAGACTCGCTCCCTCTGTCAAAATCGAGAGGTCGAGGGTATGTCCATGTAAACTTCCCTCGTCCACTTGACGAAGTGGAATGCACTTCAAAATGGTGGTGGGGATTCTCCAGAGGGGAAGTGCTTAGGGAAGTTCGCGAGTGCGTGTCTAAAAGGGAACTGGAATGCAGCCTTAGGCTTAGTCTTGGCCAACATGGCTCTACGGTAGAGATTATATCGCCACCTGTTGGTTTGGCATGCTCTTGACAGTGCTTCATAGCATGCGTTTGCGTTTTCATGTGGATGGAGTTTTTTTTTAAACGGAAGGAGGAAAAAATCAGTTTATAAAAATACCTGTGTACATGCCCTTACCCCTTGTCCAAATACCCACACCTGCGGTCTTGAGCCACTTGTGAGCTCATGCGCTCGACAGGAAGTAAGTGCACAAGACTGTCCCAGGTCTTAAAAACGCCAAAGCGGAGTGCCCTTAACGCGCACACTAAATCCACACCATCTTGAATACCGCTCTGGAGCTGTATTCGAGGCTTAGTGTATCCCATCATGCATCATGTTGTGGAAATAAATCGTAAGACTTTTTGCAGAGATCTTGCGAGAGGTCACGGAAACCTTTCCAATGCATGTTAAATATTAATAATAGTTAGATATTACATATCATTTGGTAGTATAACAAAAAGTTGCACGTTTTATTGGTGTAAATGTGTAGTGGTGATAATTATTTTGTACAACATTTGCAACTGCATTTTATTACGTAATTAGAAGCACCACAAAATTAAATTGTGTCATCTGTTATAGAGACTACTGAACAGACATTTAGAAACTGATTTTAAAAATAAAGCTTTTTTTACAACACCATAAGTGTGTCCCATCAGGTAATGAAAAGTTATACACACACTTGTGGTCTTCATGCTCACTTGAACACTTGGACCAAATACAGGAAATACCTCAATTGTAGTCAAGTAATCAAGTGCAAAAACCTCAAGTGCGGGTATTTGGACAAAGGGTACCTTGTGTTAGCGCTGCTATTGTAAGCCCTAGTTTCCAGTGCACCTGTGTCTTGTCTTGGTTTTTTTTTTGCCTGTGCTCTGGCTATTGTTGTTTGGACTGCCCTGTCTGTGCTTTGGACCTTTTGCCTGTTTGGACTATGTTTGTGGATTTCCCCTTATTAAAATCTGCGTTTGGATCTTCAATCTTCTTGTCTCTATGCAGTGCATAACAAACACCATGCCAGTTAAGATTTTCGAGCAAATAATGGCTTAAAATTAAGCAAAATATTGAAAGAAAAAAAAGTTTTGAAATTTACCTTAAATTAAAAAAAAAATTTAAATCTAAAACTATAAAATTAAAGTCCCTGTAAAGGCAATATTAAATGTGTTCTGAGTTTGTCACACCACAGAAAAATGTATTAAATGTATATTAAAATCTGCTCAAGTAAATAACATAAGTTATCAAAATCTTGAAAAAATGAGTGGTACACTCTGCTCTCAAATGCTGGGGGCATGTCCGCTGTCTGCGCTGAAACCACGCCCACTCACGGGAAAGCTTATCAGTGAATCCCAGTTGTCTCAGATAAAAGTTTATAAAACTATCCGGTGTAAAATGATCACTGCAGAGGCGGGTGTTGGTGGTGATCCTCAGCTCTCCATCAAGGTGGCTCTTTAATACACAAAATCAATCCACCTCTTTTTGATATAATCATTATTAGGAAATTTATATAAGGACACACAGCTGTTTTGCAAGTTATCACAACCAGGTAATACGCATTTCCGTGATGAAGGCATAGCTAGCTAGCAAACTGTAGACTGTAGTAACTAACGGTGCTGACAGTAACTCGCGATTGAGCGGGTAAACTGATGCAAATGTGCTCTAGTTATAGTGTTAGTGGAGGGGCCATGATCGGTAGCTCCAGTGCGTCATCGAGCCACCGTTTTAGCCCAGCCAAAAAAATTCCTGAACACAGAATTGGTGAAAAACTGTTTAACGGTCTAACTCCACTATTCAGTACTACAGAATTCACAGTCTTTGTAATGTGTTTCAGCAATACATTTGCAACATTTATAATGCGTTTAGAAATACTTCTCAGAATTGACTTTACAGGGACTTTAAAGACCTTTTCATATGAATCAGCTAAATAAAAATAATGTTTGTGATTTAACACACCAGCAACATTGGCAATTTTAAGCGAGAAATTGCTTAATGTAGCAAAGGGAAAAAACTTATTGAAAAAAAGTTTCTTGAAGTTTTTTTTTTGTTAAGTATTATCATCGAAATCTAAAACAAAACCATTAAAACCATTTGCATATAAACTAACTGAATAAAAATTGGATCATAAATGTAATCCAACAAGATGAAGTAAATGGAGTCAGATTTGATGTCGCTCACCTTCATAAACTTTGATGGTCACGGCTGGCTGGTTGTCCGAAGCGGTGGAGAAGATCTGGGATTTCTTGGTGGGCACACCAGTGTTCCTGGGAATGAGTTTGGTCATCACTCCTCCGACCGTCTCAATGCCCAGGGTCAAAGGACAAACGTCCAGAACCACCAGGTCACCTGTTCAACACATTTCAGCCATTAAGCATCTCATAAGAGACTTGGTGTGATTAGACAGGCCAGCCCTAGATGTGGTCATCATTAAAGGTTGTAGAGGGACTCACCGGTATCCTCTTCTCCTGACACGGTTGGCTGGTTGTCAGAAGCGGTGGAGAAGATCTGGGATTTTTTGGTGGGCACAACGGTGTTCCTGGGAATGAGTTTTGTCATCACTCCTCCGACCGTCTCAATGCCCAGGGTCAAAGGGCAAACGTCCAGAAGCACCAGGTCTCCTGTTCAACACATTTCGGTCATTAATCATCTCGCAAGAGACTGGGTGTGATTATACAGTTTGTAGAGGGACTCACCGGTATCCTCTTCTCCTGACAGAACTCCAGCCTGGACGGCAGCTCCGTAAGCCACAGCCTCGTCTGGGTTGATTCCTCTGGACGGCTCCTTGCCGTTGAAGAGCTCCTTCACCAGCTGCTGGATCTTGGGAATACGAGTGGAGCCACCGACCAGGACGATCTCGTCGATGTCAGACTTCTTCAGGTCAGAGTCTTCCAGAACCTTCTGCACTGGTTTCATGGTGGAGCGGAACAAGTCCTGTGAGGAGAAAGAACAAAACATTGGTTATTTTCTATGAATTGAACAGATACAGGCACAATCACAGTTATTTTTATTTTATTTTCAATAAACTACAATAGTATTTTTCAATATTTTGAATACGTTTTTTTTTTAATTTTAGATTCAGGTTTCATTTTAATTCAAAAGTAATCTGCCGTGAGTTTTACTTTTGTCATTTTAAAAAGAAAGGAAAGGACAGGTGGCCAAGTATGATGTCATATACCCGGCACTTCACCCATCCAAGTGCGTACACACACCGTGAACACACACCTGGAGCAGTGGGCAGCCATTTTTGCTGCGGTGCCCGAGAAGCAGTTGGGGATTTGGTGCCTTGCTCAAGGGTCTCACCTCAGTTGAGGTATTGAGGGTGGAAGAGAGTGCTGGTCATTTACTCCCAGTCATTCACTGTCGGTACTGAGACTCGAACCCGCGACCTTTGGTTTACAAGTCCGAGTCCTGTGAGGAGAAAGAACAAAACATTGGTTATTTTCTATGAATTGAACAGATACAGGCACAATCACAGTTATTTTTTATTTTATTTTCAATAAACTACAATAGTATTTTTCAATATTTTGAATACGTTTTTTATTTTTTTTTTTAGATTCAGGTTTCATTTTAATTAAAAAGTAATCTGCCGTGAGTTTTACTTTTGTCATCTTAAAAAGAAAGGAAAGGACAGGTGGCCAAGTATGATGTCATATACCCGGCACTTCACCCATCCAAGTGCGTGCACACACCGTGAACACACACCTGGAGCAGTGGGCAGCCATTTTTGCTGCGGTGCCCGAGAAGCAGTTGGGGATTCGGTGCCTTGCTCAAGGGTCTCACCTCAGTTGAGGTATTGAGGGTGGAAGAGAGTGCTGGTCATTTACTCCCAGTCATTCACTGTCGGTACTGAGACTCGAACCCGCGACCTTTGGTTTACAAGTCCAACTCTCTAATCATTAGGCCACAACTGCCCCATTTCTTTATTCATATTTTTTTAGTGATACTAAAATATAAATGAACAAACTAAACTCTCTCTAGATAGATAGACAGAAATTTTTACAAATATTATAATTCAGTTAACATTTATTTTATTTCAAGTAATGAACATGCTGTTTTCAGTTTCCTATTACAGCATTTATTAATATTTTGAATTAGTTATTTTTAAAGTTACAGTAATTTTGAGATGTCATTTTTTATAGTTTTTGCTTTTGATTTTTTAAATTAATTTTTATTTAAATTTTAGTAAATAAATAAAAAACTAAAATAACTAAATAGATTATAAAAAACTTAAACTAAAAGGAAATTTCCCCCCAATATTTTCAAATTTCAGTTTTATTCAAATAAATGTATTTAATATTACTAATAAATTGCAGTTTTATTAACATTATTAATACATTGTAGTTCTAGCTTTGTTAAGGATTTGTTGGTAAAGCAGTGCTTCTCTTACCATGTTGAGCTCCTCAAACTTGGCGCGGGTCAGCGTCTCGGAGAAGTCTTCACCCTTGAAGAAGGACTCGATCTCAATGTGGGCCTGATGCTGTGCAGACAGTGCTCTCTTGGCCTTCTCCACCTCACGAAGCAGCTTCTGCACGGCACGGTTGTCCTTGCGCACGTCTTTTCCGGTCTTCTTCTTGTAGAGCTTGATGAAGTGCTCCATAACACGCTGATCGAAGTCTTCCCCACCGAGGTGAGTGTCTCCATTGGTGGCCACCACCTCGAAGACGCCGTTACCGATGGTCAGCAGGGAAACGTCAAAGGTGCCGCCGCCAAGATCAAACACCAGGATGTTCTTTACACCGTCACTCTTGTCCAGACCGTAAGCGATTTCTTTATTCATATTTTTTTAGTGATACTAAAATATAAATGAACAAACTAAACTCTCTCTAGATAGATAGACAGAAATTTTTACAAATATTATAATTCAGTTAACATTTATTTTATTTCAAGTAATGAACATGCTGTTTTCAGTTTCCTATTACAGCATTTATTAATATTTTGAATTAGTTATTTTTAAAGTTACAGTAATTTTGAGATGTCATTTTTTATAGTTTTTGCTTTTGATTTTTTAAATTAATTTTTATTTAAATTTTAGTAAATAAATAAAAAACTAAAATAACTAAATAGATTATAAAAAACTTAAACTAAAAGGAAATTTCCCCCCAATATTTTCAAATTTCAGTTTTATTCAAATAAATGTATTTAATATTACTAATAAATTGCAGTTTTATTAACATTATTAATACATTGTAGTTCTAGCTTTGTTAAGGATTTGTTGGTAAAGCAGAGCTTCTCTTACCATGTTGAGCTCCTCAAACTTGGCGCGGGTCAGCGTCTCGGAGAAGTCTTCACCCTTGAAGAAGGACTCGATCTCAATGTGGGCCTGATGCTGTGCAGACAGTGCTCTCTTGGCCTTCTCCACCTCACGAAGCAGCTTCTGCACGGCACGGTTGTCCTTGCGCACGTCTTTTCCGGTCTTCTTCTTGTAGAGCTTGATGAAGTGCTCCATAACACGCTGATCGAAGTCTTCCCCACCGAGGTGAGTGTCTCCATTGGTGGCCACCACCTCGAAGACGCCGTTACCGATGGTCAGCAGGGAAACGTCAAAGGTGCCGCCGCCAAGATCAAACACCAGGATGTTCTTTACACCGTCACTCTTGTCCAGACCGTAAGCGATGGCAGCGGCAGTTCTGTGGAGAGCAACAAGATGTCCATCAGGGTTATCATTAACCAAAACCATAAAAAATATTTATATAAAATAATATTTTATTTTATTTCAAGTAACAATACTTACATTAACTGCAATAAAATATATATTTTTTAATCCTAAACTTATTTTATTTCAGTTAGTTGCCAAAGCAACATTTCTAATTTTGAGATGTCATTACATACAGACCAGTCTCAAATCTCCCTTTTCTGTCAAAGATACTAGAAAAAGCAGCATCATCTCAGGTTTGTTCCTTCTTAGAGAGATAGTATCTGTGAGGATTTCCAGTCAGGATTTAGACCGTATCATAGTACTGAGACTACTCTCATCAGAATTACAAATTGCATTCTCTTATCATCTGACAGTGGTTGTATCTCTGTATTAGTGCTACTGGATCTTAGAGCTGCGTTTGACACTATCGACCACAACATTCTTTTGAGTAGACTAGAAAATTATGTTGGCATTAGTGGAATTGCATAGGCATGGTTTAAATCTTAATTATCTGACTGTCATCAATTCGTAGCAGTGAATAATGATGATCACAAGTGTAGTATGGAGTACCACAAGGCTTAGCACTAGGACCGTTGCTTTTCATGCTTTATATGTTACCCTTATGAGATATTATCCGGAAGCATACTGTTAGCTTTCACTGTTATGCTGATGTTACTCAGCTCTATATTTCTATATACCAGTTCGCAAAACTAACAAAATGCATAGTTGATATAAAACTGGATGACTGGTCATTTCCTACCGCTAAATTCGGAAAAAACAGAGGTGTTAAGGCCGGGACACACCAACTGATGGTCGGCCGTTGGGCAACGTCAGGCCGTCGGTGAGTGTCTGTCGGGCTAGTTTGTTTGGTGTGTTCCTCATGTCAGCTCTCATCGGGCTCACGCCGGCAGCAGTTTGCCAGATTCAACATGTTGAATCGGCATCGGGGCCGTCAGCAAGAATGAGAACTCTGATTGGATGTTCAGTTTAGTGAACGAGTCAGTGCCCCAGATTTAAACTGAAAGTGATGAAAACGAGCACGTAAATAAAGGCGGCACAGACAGAAGGCTGTTCTAATGTTACATGATTTTACCAAATCATTCAAATATGCGAATATTTTTATAACAACATGAGCCACTTAAAATGAAGAAAGTTATCAACATAACTGATATTCAAAATGGTAAACAAGTGCTGCTTTGTTTACATTTTATATATCTGAGCATCTCACATATCCTTTTATCGGTTTCTCCTTTTGAATGACCAATATTTACTATTGATAACTGCTGATATTGACAAATAATTCCTCTCACACAGGTGCAGAACACATGTGTTAGTTTGCAGTTGGCTGTAGTCTGAGTGGTGTGTTCAAGCGCAGCTTTTTGGTCTAGACGCTGCCAACGTGAGGCAACAACACCGTCGGCTTTTGTCGCCGCTAGTTCTTTGAAGTCGGCTTGGTGTGTCCTGGCCTTTAATTGTCAGACCAAAAACCTCCACATGTAATAACCTAGAACACTGTCTAAGACTTGATGGCTGCTCTGTCAATTCTTTGCCATTAGTTAGGACCCTAGGTATGCTATTTGATAGCAAGCTTTCCTTCGAAAGCCACGTTTCTAGCATTTGTAAAACCACATTTTTCCATCTTAAAAATATATCTAAATTACTACCTATGCTCTCAATGTCAAATGCAGAAATGTTAATTCATGCATTCATGACCTCAAGGTTAGATTATTGTAATGCTTTATTGGATTGTTGCTTTGCGTGCTTAAAGGGGTCATATGATGCGATTTCAATTTTTCCTTTCTCTTTGGAGTGTTACAAGCTCTTGGTGCATAAAGAAGATCTGTAAAGTTGCAAACACTAAAGTATTGTTGACGCTGCAGCCATGTCCTGAAGACGCTGTGTGCTTCGTTGTGAAAGCGAAACTACTTTGTTTGGTCTTCAAAAAGAGGACGATATCTGCTTCGTCATGCCTGGAGCTGATCTGTGCTGGTCGCTGAGGGAATACATCAACTTTCACCGTGGACAAAGCGGAGTCCAGCCCGCCTCAGCTCACTCTATCCCGGCCTCAGCGCACGCTAAGCCGGGGCTTCCCCTCACGCTAGGCCGCTGTGTTTTTCGTTGCCACTGATGATTCAAACGCGAGCTTTGGGCAGTAGAGTAGCACTTATTGTTTGTCATTTCTCCGATCACAAATGCAGACATGGTTTTATGTTTAC